AAACCTTCCCCAGGCCCCCCCATCTCCCGGCCGGGAGCCGCTGGGCCCGGCCCCATCCCCGCCCGGCCGCATGGCCTGGGCAGGGACAGGAGGCCTGGAGCTCCGCCACCCTCCACAGCCAGAAAACAAAGAGAGCCCAGAGACCTCTGCTTTTACACTTTAAGGTAGGGTTCACAAGTTGATCCCACTTTTCAATGGCCTAAACTGCTGTCAATTCCCAGCAATGACCGATAATTGGTCAGGAGAAAAGACTCCAGGCAGTTCCCAGCAACTCCAACTCCTTTAAAGGTAAAGTAACTCCATGACAACCTGTCTGCATCCAGCTTGCCATTTCGTCCCTAGGAAATTATTTTCTTGGGCAGGCCCCTTGACTTCATTTGATAGCAAACCTGCTTTCAGGAGACTCAGGATTATTCTCACTCCTTTCTCATTAACCTCCCCTGCAATGTTCCCCCACACAATGATGTCATCCATGTAGTGCAGATGTTCTGGAGCCTCACTCTTTTCCAGTGCAGCCTGGATCAGTCCATGGCAGATGCTGGGGCCGTGCTTCTGCCCCTGGGGCGGTCAGTTCCAGGTGTACTGCACACCCCTCCAGGTGAAAGCAAACTGAGGCCTGCACTCTTCTGCCAGAGGAATGGAGAAAAACACATCAGCAATGTCAATAGTGGCATATCGCTTTGCTGCCTTGGACTCCAGCTTGTACTGGAGCTCCAGCATGTCTGGCACAGCAGCTCTCAGTGACAGCTCATTTAGGCTACAGTAGTCCACAGTCAATGTCCATTCCCCATCAGACTTGTGCAAAGGCTAAATGGGACTGTTGAACCATGAATGGGTCTTACTGACCATTCCCTGGCTCTCCTGTTCATGGATCATACCATGTATGGGAATCACGGAATCTCAGTTTGTGTGGTATTGCTGATGATGTACTGTAGTGGTAGCAATGGTACCTGATGTTCTTCTACCCTCAGGAGTCCTACTGCAGAAGGGTCCTCTGAGACACCAGGCAAGGTATTTAGTGCCCTCTGCCTTCACAGCAGCTATTCCAAAAGCCCACCTGAGTCCTTTAGGGTCTTTGAAAAATCCACTCCTGAGGAAATCTACACCCAGAATACAGGGGACCTCTGGACCAGTCACAATAGGGTGTTTCCTCCTCTCCTTACTAGTCAAGAGCACCTCAGCTTCCAACAGAGTCAACTGCTGTGACATCCCTATTGCCCCAACAACAGAAACTGTTTCTGTCCCCACATGTCCCAGTGGGATTAAAGTACATTGTGCAACAGTGTCAACCAAAGCCATGAATTTTTGTGTTTCTGTTGTGCTAGGGCATCTGATCCACACAGTCCAAAAGACCAAACTTTCCCTCACATCTGCCTGGCTAGAGGCCAGGGCCCCTCTTGTCCTGCCTACCATTGACTCCCTTTGCATACATTCTAGAGGTTCCTTCAAGGAGGAGGACATAGCATCCTCCCTTTCTGTTATACCTGGCAGCTCGGTTATGGGAAACTGTAGCTACATTCCTTCTGGTCGAATTCCCTTGTTAGTAGTTTTGTCCTTTAGCTTACATGCCTGTGCTGCCAGGACAAAAATGAGTTTTCCATCCCACCTCATATCTTCCCCATGCTTACACAGGAAGAACCACAGGTCATCACATGGGGTGTATCCCCTCTCCCTAGCTGGGGTCATCTACCTCTGATAACAGGGCATCTGCTTTGTGTCGACGAGACTTAGAGAAGGTCCTCTTTTAATCTCCTTCCTGAGTTTCTGATGGGTCTCTTCAATCCTGTCTTACACTTTCTGTATATGTTCTGCCAGGCCTGTTTCCACAGCTGAGATTTTTGCTTCTGTTGGGCCATGCACCATGTCTTCATTGTACCGAAGCCTCCTTGTCACAGCACTACTGTCTCATCCCTCTCCTTCCACTGCAGTGTTGTTATGGCAGGGCTGTACATTTGTGGCCAGATTTGAGCAAGTTGGAGCCGCATCACTACCATACATTTTACGATGTCTGGACCTTTAGCGGCTTGGTCATCATCTGAGAAAAGGACCTCTAGCACTGCCAGTTTTCTCAAATGTTGGATTCCTTGCTCCATGGTCTTCCAGAGCCCTTGATGTAGTTGGAGATCTTCAGGGCAAAGTGTCTTTCTTTCACACTTATTAAGAGCCATGTCCAGAGGCTGAGAGGTTTGGGGCTCTTTGCAATACCCTGGTCAATACTCACATCACGTAACAGATCCCAAATGCCTCTCTTCAGTACCACCCAAAATTGTATCATAGCCTGTGGTGTCCCAGATTTGGACCAACCAACTCAATACAGACTCATTGGGCCTTTGGCTGAGATATTTTCTCAGATTGTGAAAGCATTCTAAGGATGGAGATGTGGTGATTATTTCTGCTTCCAATTCCTCTGTTGGTGGGAGGCTCCTGACTCCTCATTGCCATCCACTGGGTGAATGGATTTGGTTTTGTGTTTCCTTCTCTGTACTGGGGCAATTGCTGCTGGCTTAGGCTCCCCACGTGGTTTAGCTGCAGCTGGAGTGCCTGGGGTGTCTGCTGACTCATCCTCCAGCCCTTCTGGCTGTATTTGCTGCCCTAAAGTGTCTAGCAGTGTGCAATAAGCATTAGCCAGGGCCCAGCACAATGCAATGAGCTGCTTCTCTTTAGAGCTGCCATTGCAATTTTCTTTCAGATATTTCCCCACCTCAGCTGGATTCTGAATTTGTTCAGGGGGAAAGTTCCAAACTATTGGGGCAGAGAATTCCTTCAGGCTTTGGCCTATGTCCTCCCACATCCCACATGACTCAGGATTTTCCTGCATGGGGGCAGATGTCTCAACAACCTCTCTGGAAATGTCAGCCCTGATTCTAAATGTCCTGTAGGTCTTACGGAGGAGAGTTAGCAGAATATAAAAAAAGAAAATATGGTATCTTTACCATATTTACCAATCCAGAGTAAACAGAATCTTCTCAAAAGATGATGTGCCAGATCTGAAGAGGAAGAAGGAAGGAAAACGCTGAGAAAAATCATCCCCTACTTCCCCCGCAGCAGACTGAGAGCAATTGTTTATAAATCTCAAAAAAATACTGCCGAGACCATCACAGGGAAACAGCAGAGAATACACATCCCAAATAACTCTCATTGCCTCTGATGTTATCTTTCCATAAATTATTAGCACAGAGAATATCTACACAGCGATTCTGATTTGTGTCCCCGATATGAAGAAGATATATACCAGGGCCAGGATTGCCAATACATGTGGGTAAGCAGCCATGCCTCAATGCCAGGAGGCCGTGATTGAACCAGGCAGCATGGTGACCACTGACTGTTGTACCCAATACAAAGTCTTTCAGACAGGAATGTGATTTTTTTCTTTTTCATTTTCTGTTGCCCCCTTAAGTTGGGCAACAAATTTTGTCTCATTTTGAGGCAATTTAAAAAAGAACCATCTGGGGTATCTCCTTTACACTTCTAAGAATCCCTTTCTGCCAGTAAGGAATGAATACTAATAAATGAGAGTGAAAAAAACCAACAAAACCTCAATGTTTTAGTAACAAACCAAATGCCAACAGGCAGGAAAAAAATAAAAAGTAAATAACTTGTACATATCAAAGTGTTAGACCTCACCATCCCACCAGAACAAAAGGAGACCCAAAATGCTGGAGAATACCCATTCCTGTTGCATGGACAATGTCCTGGGGTGACTTTATGATGCTTCTATCCAAATCACCTTGTTTATGTTACATATTAAGTTCTACACATTTAAGACTGGCTCTGAGAGTGAAGCAGGTGGAAGAAGAAGCGCACAGTTTGTGTTCAGAAAGAGCACTCACTCCCCCACATCCTGCTCCCGGAACGTGCCGTCTGCAACACAGACAGACAGTGGGACAGAGCTCTCCTTGGCTTTTTGTTCTCTAGCTACCTGAGACAGAGAAGTTCCCCAGACTGGTTTTTTCCCTTTTTCTTGGATCTGTTCAAAGCTGCTCTGGACTGAAAACCCAGACAAACCCCAGCAGTTCACACCAGTGGCCCACCTGGGTCTGGGCCTTGGCACTTTCCAGTGCCGGATGGACTGATAAAAACCTGAGCGAGCCAAGCTACACCACATGAAAAGGACCTTTTCTGGATTTCACGTTGCATCAAACAGCGAGAGGTTTTATTGTTTCATATTATTCAATTTCTGTTAAATAAACGGGTTTTTTCCTCTTTTCTCCAAGGAAATCTGTTCCTGAACCAGTTGGGGGAGAGGCCACTTAAATTTGTTTTCTGGAGGAACCCCACTCGGAGGCTCTCTCCCAAATTTGCCCAAAACCAGGACACCAGGCCAGCTGTTTTCCTGTGAGATAGTAGCAGACAGTGACAGGAGACAGCTCCTGCCTTCCCCAGGGACAGCACAACCCCAGCCTGGAAGAAAAGGGACCTACAGAAAACTGCAGGGAGCCTTCCTACAAGGGTAGGTAGTGATAAAACAAGGGGCAATGACTTTACAATGACAGAGGGTAACTTTAGATGGGATATTGAGATGGAGTTCTTGACTGTGAGGATACTGAGGAATTGGTAAAGTTGTCCCAAGCAGCTGTGGATGCCCCATCCCTTGAAGTGTTTACAGACAGCTTCTGAGACAGGCTCTGAACAACCTTTAGCAGTGCAAGCTATCCCTCCATGCCCAAAGCAAGGGGATCAGAGCTAGATGATCTCCAAAGCTCCCTTCTACCAGAAACCATTCTATAGCTCCTCAAATAGTTGCTGCCCCTCCCCCAATGCCCCAGACCCCCCTCCAGCACTCAGAACATGGAACCCACCGCTCTGTGACATCAGCCCCGGCACCGAGGGCACCAAGGACACCGTGGCTGCTGTGGGCATTGCGGCTGTGGCTGTGATGCTGCACGGAGCCCTCAGTGCTTGCTGCTCACACGAGCCTCTGGCAGCCATGAACTGGCTCAGCCTCCTCGTCCTGATGACCGTGGCCGGGCTGGCCCACAGCATGGAGTACACCTGCGGGTAAGTGGCCCCAGGCCCTGGCAGGGAGCCACGGCAACACTTGGGGCCTTCCCTGCAGGGGCCCCGCCTGTCCCCCATGGCCGGGCCACAGCTTCCCACCCACCATGGGACAGCCTCAGCTCCTTGCCAGCAGCCAGGTGCTGGCACGGACAGACACACACCCCATGGGCTTCCCTGGCCTGCTGTGCCTGCAAGCCCTTGTGGGGAGGGCAGAGGGCTGAGCTTCAGCCTGAGCCACAGCAGGCCATGGAGCAGCATGGAAATTACTTTCTGCTTGCAGAGGGTCCTGTGGGTTCCGAGCTCCTGTCTACAACCACAACACTGCTTTTGACTACGGCTTGACACGCATCGTGGGAGGCACAGATGCCCTGGACGCATCCTGGCCATGGATCGTCAGCCTCCAGCATCCCTGGGCACCATACCTAGGGCATTTCTGTGGAGGGTCTCTCATCACTGCAGACTGGGTCCTCACAGCAGCCCACTGCTTCAAAGTGTATAAGTAAGGAGGGGCAGGGAATAGGGACATCCCCACAACACCAGCAGGTGCCCTGCCACCAGCACCACCTGCTACTCCCCTCCCCTTTCCTCTCAGGCAGCCCAGGTGCCACACTGCTCAGGAGAAGCCCGGCCTTGTGCCAAGGCTTCCCAGCAGCTTTCAGCTTGACATTCTCCCAGCCTAACTTGTGCAAGGGCACTCACACCTGCCAGAGCCCTGCTCCCTCTCTGCCTTGCCATGCAGAGGTCTGGCAACTGCTGGGCTGCTGTGGCACATGGCTCTGCTCCCTTTCAGACCTCTCTCCATCTCCTTTCCAGTAACATCAGCATGGTGTACGTGCTGATTGGAGCCACCCAGTTGTCTCAGCCGGGCCCTGGGGCCGTAGTGCGCAATGTCAAGAAGGTGGTGATACACCCGTACTACATTTCTGCTGCCAACTACAGCTACGACATCGCCATCTTACAATTGGACCAGCCTGTTCTCTGCAGCCAATACATCCAGCTGGCCTGTGTGGCTGACCCTGCCCTAAGGGTCTCAGAGCTCTACAACTGCTGGATTGCTGGCTGGGGTTACACCACTGAAAAATGTGAGTTCCAAGAACGACTCCTGAGCCAGTTAAGAGCACTGGGAAGAGGGTTTGGGCTTCCCCACAGCAGAGGCCACAGCCAGGCTGTTGGATGAACACCTCTGCAGAGATGGGCCTGGCCTGCTCCCCAAAGGCAGGGAGTAGGGACACAGCACCCCAGTGCCTCTGCAGAGGGAAAGCCATCCCCTCCCAGACAGATCAGTAGAAGTAGCATGGAGCTGCCAGAGGCTTATTCCTTTCTCTTGCTCACAGCTCAGCAGTCAGCTGATCGCCTCCAGGAGGCCAAGGTCCAGCTCATCGATGTCCAGCTCTGCAACAGCACTGGCTGGCACACAGGGATTGTGCAACCCCACAACTTGTGTGCTGGTTACCCAGAGGGAAACATCGACACCTGCCGGGTAGGAGCGCACCACGAGCCACTCAGCCCCCAGCAGCACCAGCAGCACCACCCCAACACAGCCCAGGACCTGCTTTGCCCGGACACTCAGTCACTCTCCCAGCCCCGGCTACCCCCGACTGCTGTGGGGGCTTCCCACACACTCCCCATCCACACCTGCCTGCACAGGGCCCCCCTTGTGCCTGAAAGCCCAGAAAGCCCAGCTAGTGCTCCTGGCAGCCCAGAGGTGCAGGTGCCAAATGTCCATCCTCTGCACATGCAGGAGCCCTGTGCAGAGAGGACAGAGAGAGCCCTGCCCTACAGAACCCCAAGCCATTCACAGCCAAGCCTCTGCAGGCTCCAGCCCCTGAGCAGAGCCTTCCTCTGCCTGGAATACAGCTCTGGCAGGGGCTGTGAGAGAGGAGGAGACAGCCCCAATGCTGGCAGGGGCCACCAACACCACCTTAATCCTCTCTGCTCTGCTGCAGGGTGACAGTGGTGGTCCTCTCATGTGCCAGGACAACAACGCTGAGTACTGGTGGGTCGTTGGAATAAGCAGCTGGGGAAGAGGCTGCGGCAGACCAAAGTGGCCTGGAGTCTTCGTCTCCACTCAGTACTTCTATGACTGGATCGTGTACAACATGCATGCACATGCTATTGAAAGTGCTTCTGTACAACATGCATGCACATGCTATTGAAAGTGCTTCTTGAGCAGCAGGACAGGCAGGATCCAGAGCAGGCTGCAGAGTACCTCAACCATTTCCTGCTGGGGCAATGCCTGCTGATCCAAAGGCAGCCTCAGGGTCAAAAACCTGCTCTGTCCTACCCACACTCCTCTCATCTGCGCACACAGACACTGGAGTTGATTTAGTTGTTGAAATAAAGTTCCCTTTGTTCACAACAAACCATCTTTTCAGTGTAATTCCTGCTCCTGGGCAAGGCAACAAGTGCCACTCAGCATCTGCAGAATGGGCTGGAGAGCACAAATCACAGAGTAGATCCAAAGAGCCCCAAAGTGCCTGGTCAGAGAGAAGAGTGCTCTAAAACCACCAAGGGTTGGAGGAATCTGGTCCATCAAACCCAGGAAGGGAATAGGAAAAAAGCAGACACTTTTGGGGTGGTGCTCAAAGGCCCATGGGCTGCTCATTAGGGCCTGGTGTGAGCCTGGGCTAAGGGAACAGATCTGGAAAAGTCCCAAGCATGACAAGGGAAACTCCTGGCTCCTGACTGGAGTGCCAGTGCCCCAAGGCAGAGCCAGATTTCACTGGTACTAAGCGGGGATTGATGTACCAGGAGGTCACACTTCCCAGATACCCAAAGGAAGAGCTGGGGTCGTTCTGGGGAGAGGAACCTGGCAGGAACAGTAGGAGAGCACACCAGGAATGCCATGGGAGGCCAAGCTGAGTGGGCCAAGAGCAGCTGCAACACCAAGGCTGTTCACAGGCAGGGCCAGCCTGGGAGGCAGGGGGAAAAGATTCCTGGGCTTGGCTCTGTATTTGGGAGGAGGTGAGGGCAGAGAAAGGGAGGAGTTGAGGAAGATGGGAGGGCTGTATAAGCCTGGCAAATGGAGAGATGGAGCAATCAAAGAGCCAGATGCACATACACAAACTGAATCTTGCTGTGCTCATTTGCCTGAGTGCTGCACATAATCGCCACAGGATGGGCAACAAACTTCCTAACTTGCCAATTTACAAATCACCGACATACTGTAGAAATACTCCCCAAGATTTTATACCCATTTATTCAACTCCACAATATTCATGTTGGGGAAAAAATAAATGGTAGGCCATCCTGCAGCTCCTCAGAGAAGCCATGTACAAAGCTACCCTCTTGTCACTCTAAAGCCATTGCCCGTTGTTCTATCAGCATATCTCAAATCATGGATAACCTGCAAGACTGTGTCCAGGTGAAATCCTCCCCTAGTCTTGGGCCCAATTATCAGTAGCCTCTCTGCCCTGCTGACCTGAAGTATCATGGGCCCATTGAGCTAGGAACAACTTCCCCTTGTGTTGCCAATCCAAACTTATCTGTAACACCTTGAATTTGTAGCCTGATCCACCTGTTCATTATTGCCCAAGTCCTGGACATGGGGACATCCACATGACAGACTTTAACAGTCAGCTCCTCTTCCCAGGCAGTGATGTCTTGCCTTTCTTCAGCAGCCCAGACTGGTTTTCCTCTACACTGCCTTTGGCCTTTTTCCACCTTTCCAGACACTGCCAGACCATTTGCTACCATGCAGCAGTCAGTGTAGAGGTAGAGTGTTGGCCACTTCTCTTACACAGCAATGTCCAAAGCCAGAACTTTCAGCTCTGCAATCTGACTGGATCCACTTCATCCTTCAGTAGCTTCTGCAACTCCCAGCATAGGGCTCCATACAGCACTTTTCCATTTCCTACTGGTCCCTACAATACAGCAGGATCCATCAGTGAAGAGGGTGTCCCATCCTTCACTCTCCAGAAGCTGGATATATGGTGGGGCTTCCTCAGCACATGTCACCTGTTCTTCCTCGTCTGAAGAAAATCAAAAGCTCTCACCTTTGGACCAGTTTGTGGTGACTTCCAAGATGCCAGGGCAACTTGGATTTCCTATTTGACCTCACTGTGATGTGGGTCATCCATTTCCTCCAGGTAGCATTGGTGGCATGATGTATTGCAGGGAACTTTCCTCTAAATATCCAGCCCAGCACTGGTAGTCAGGCTACCAGAAGGAGCTGTGCTTCAGTGCCAGTCACTTCTGAGGCAGCTCAAACCCCTTCATAGCCTGCAAGCATCTCTTCCTCTCTTGGGATGTAGCTGGCCTCAGATTCTGTATGCATGGCTCCAAAACCCAAGAGGTCAGCCTCGAGTCTCCCCAGGTCTCTTCTGCCAGAGGCTCCAGGATGGACCATTCTCTGTGGCTGTGGTGTAGAGCACATTCTTCCCATCCTGTCCTGTCCTGGCAGGCCCAAGTGCTGTTGCATGGGCAATCTCATGCTTGATCTGCTCAAAAGCTTGCTCTTGCTCAGGGCTCCAGTCAAAATCCTTCTTCTCTTGTGTCATGAGGTAATGAGGTCTTACAATCTGTCTGTATTCCAGGATGTGCATTCTCCAAAAGTCCACGGTGCCTAGAAAAGCTTGTGTCTCTTTTTTGCTGGTCATGGGGACACAGCACTTATCTTAGTAATCTTATCTGTTGGCACCTGTGTCGTGGTTTTAAACCAATAACTAAGAAAATTACTTACTTCTTGCTGTGAGATATGGATTAGAACAAGAGCAAAACAGGCATACAACTTAAAAGGGAAAAAAAAAAGAAAGTTTATTGACAAACTACAACAACAAGAACACCAGAATAAACCTCCAGAAAAACCCTTCCATCCCCTATCTACCCACCACTTCCCCGTTCACATGACAACAGAGACAAAAACTCTGGAACTTTGATGGTTAAAACAGTCTCAATTCTTGCTAGTCTTTTCACTAGTCCTTATAGAGAAACAGAAGTTTCTTCCTGTTAATTTATGGAGTTTCTCACAAGAAAACTATTTTTGTTATAGTTTTCTATTGCCCTAATGTTAGCTGCTCAGAGCCGCTATTATTAGAGTTCACTCCTCCCATTTTCACATCACTCTGAAGTATGTATGGGCCATGAGTCTAGAGATAGCATTTTTAAGGATAAGTTATTCAAAGGCAAAAAAAAAGTCTTCTTCATCTGTTTCTGTGAGCTTCACCAGAAAACAGTTTTCTCATTGCCTCTCAAGGCTTCAAATCTCCCAACAGTTTTCTCATTGCCTCTCAAGGCTTCAAATCTCCCAGAACTTCACTATACTATAATTACTCTTTACTCAAATTTACACTTTGAACACTATTCCTCTCTAGATCCTGTATCATGAATTAAAGGAGTTCTTTTCAGGACTTCATTGTCCATCTCCACAGTTTTAACAGGGAGATATTTCAGCTTAATTAAAGCATCTTCTTAATTCTCTACCTTTCCTGAAGCTTCTTTTCTTTCCTGTCACTGGTAGTTTATAAAGTCTCTTTTCATGTTGATCACTCTCTCTCTCTCTCTCTGGATAAAAAGATTAATCCGCAAGTCTCATCTGGGTAATGAAAGAGTTAAAATCTTGCCCAGGCTTTTGTAGATGGTTCGGAGATCTCTGCCGAACAGGAGCTGGAGCCGTCTGCGATGGAAAGTTCCTCATGGCTGCTCTGGAGCGTGTAGTCGCTGCTCCAACCCGCTGCAAGTCCAGGGCCTCTCTCTTTCTTCACTGGGCAGT